AGTAATTATGGATATATATTAATTTATGCTAGTCCATTTCTAACACCTTGGTGACTTACATAGGGGGATCGACACCCTTAAATTCCATCAAACATTTCTTAATCTGATTCTAAAATCTCTGTTGGTATAAAGCTGGACCCTTTAAATTACATAATGAGGTTGAGAAAATAGGGAATAAGTTAAATATATATATATATATATATATTCATTTTGGTCACTTCAAATCCATGCTCAGAAAGGTCCTAGTAAAGTTGGTGGATGAATTTATCAGCTTCCACTGTCTAATTGACCACAAATTTCAATTTTGTTTTTGTTTTTTTTCAAATTGCATGGTACATACAATTTGACCTAAAGTTTCAAAATTTATTCATTTGCAACTCTAGTCGGTATGTACTTCTATGAAATTAATGTTATTACACTTTGGACAATAATCTGATCAAACTATTGGATCATTGGGTTATTAATTCAGTCGGTAGATTGTTGGTAGAATCGGTAGCTAGGTCACTTGTACAATGATATAAATATTTTTTACAACACATGAAATATAAATTAGAAACAGTAAAACTGGTGAATAAATTTATCATTGGGTTATTAATTCAGTCGGTAGATTGTTGGTATAATTTTTTACAAAAATTCCTTGATGACTTACCGATCAATTTTAATTGGATTTATTACACACCAGTCTTTGAGACATAGTCACTTGCAGCTTGGTACGTAGTTCACATAAAAAATAAAAATAAAAATAAAAATTACTATTGGCAGAAATTTCATGCTTTTGTTTGAAATTCCAAAAAAAAAAAATAAATAAAATTATATGTATTCAATATTCAATTGTAATGGAATGTTGAAATAAAATATAATTTCAAAACCAACTGAATTTTGAAATCTTTTTAACGAAGGCAAAAAGGTATAACTAGCTAGCAGTAGCATTATTTTCCCAGAACAAATTTGCTTTTCTAATTCTATATTTCATAGAGTATTAATTTCTTTTTTTTTTTTACTACGACTGAAACAATGATGTACATAATCAATGCCATTTAATTATTATGTGGTCCTATGATTTTCCAATTTATTTCATGAAACTACAAAATTCACCCTCGTATTTATAGCGTAGGAGCATTGGACAGTCGCTTTCGTGCAAATCTATGAAAGATACTGAATTAAAGAGTTTTCAGACCGCAGATTGCAAAAAGCACCTCATCATCTAAGGAAATTAGTAAACGGCAGTTCTTTTTTACACATTTCCTTATTATATATGCTTTTAAGTATTTCTTAATTAAATCAATAAGCTTTTAGTTCAAGTGATAATGATCTCTTGATATAGTTTACAAAAGATTACTGATTCAATTCTTAACCGAGTTAAAAACAATATTGGTAATAATCTGATTCGATCTGAAAATAATATAAATATAATATTTTATGTTTTTAAAATATTAAATATAAAAAAAAGGAAAAAAAAAGTGGCACCAGGTTTAGATTTAAGGTTTAGTAACTCTAAATGGTAATTAACATTCTACGCTTTTGTTCCCTTCTACCTCTATATTGAAGACTTTTTTTTCCCCAAACAATTAAATGATAAGTTTTTTTAGTTTCTTTTTCAAATCTCAAATTAATTTTGTGAGATTTTTTATAAATGTATGGAAAAAATAATTAATGAGTTGTTGTTGGTATTATATTTATAAAGTCTTCCTCTAATTTGAATTTATATCCATTTCAAATTTGTTCATAAAATATTAGGATTTTCTTTTATACTAGTCAAGTTATGCTTAGAGTAGATATTTTAATTATTTTGCTTTACTTTGTCACACTTCTTGTTTAATTTAAATTAATTTTGACTTTTAGTATAAATTTTTATGTAGATTATTTCATTTTGTTCTTTTTAATGGTGAGACATTTTGATTTTTTTTTTAAATTGATGTATTAAATATTATCATTAGATATTTATTTATACCTGCAATAGTTGAAATCTATTTTACATTGAAACATAATTTTCAATGTAATCAATATTATTTTAAAAAAATTGAATTCAATCCGTACTCGTTGCAATTCAGATATAGATTGATAGTTGCAAAATTCAAATTTAAATTTATAAGATTTAATTTGACTCATTAATTTTTTTGAAAAAATTTGGATCCACTATGATCTAGTCTATATATATCCAAACCATTTACGAGACTTAGGGGAAAAAAAAAAAGAAGCTTTTCTCAAGGAATAAAAGAACAACAAGGAAGAATGCACTTGTATTTAAAATGTGATTTGATGGTTTGATGAATTTTCACAAGAAAGTGGATCTTTTGATGTATGATTTTTCTTTATTTAGGAAAGTGTTATTGTTTGTATGAATTGATTGAGTGATTTTTAAATTAACTTTTATTTTCTCTCGGGTTTTTTCCTTAATTATGTACTATGTGTGAGGTTGTTATTGAGTTACTAATTGTTGCAATACTACATAATTTATGTACTGAATTTAAAGCATGAGTAAAGGATAACCTCTTGTAGTATAGATTTAGCCTTTATAGAAAATAGTCATCTAAGTGTCCGACCTCTATCGATAATCCATACGGTCCAAGCACTCACACAAGAAGCACTCCGAAGTTGTAGAGTGCTAACTCCTTTTTTTTTTTTTTGTTGACTTGTTTAATATTTTCTCTTTGCAAATCTATTTAGGGATATTTTTGTGACAACTCTAAAAGAGAAGGAGAGAGGTGGCATGGTTTTTCTATTTTTTTCTTTTGTGTCGTGTATGCCTAGCATAACCACTCCCTCTTTCTTGCACCTTTCTTTCTATTTATAAGGAAGTAGTGCCTTTCTTTTCCTCTAAGGACAAGGAAATGGTGGCAACAATTCTAAAAAGGACTCTAGGTTATTGTTCATAATCCTTCAAGGATTAGGAGTTGTAATGCATATGAGCTTTTTTATCTTATCCTTATAAACCTTGATCCTTATTCAATAAGGTTCATGTTTATCCTCTCACCAAAATGTCTTGCATGTTTTAAATTTAAACCTATTGGCCCAAACTCTTTTGGTCCAATTAATTACCAATTAATTTGGACTATCCAAACAAATTGAGTTAGATATTTTTAAGAGGCTTATATTAGAAAATAATTTTTTAAATTATCCTTAAAACTAAATTAGGAAACTAATTTTATTTTTAGGCAACTTACTTTTAAATTTTGAACTAATTTCCAAATTAGAAAACTAATTTCTAAAACGAGAAAACTTTCCATTTTAAGAAAAATTTTCCAAAATAGGAAACTTTCCAAATTGGAAACCTTTTTCCAAAATCTTTGCTTCTCTTTTATTATATGAATGCTTAAACTTATACGTATGAATCAATAGGCTCCTAGATATGTTGACAATGTATTAAAAAAATCTTTACTTCTCTTTTATTATGTGAATGCTTCAACTTATGTATGTGACTCAATATGCTCCTAGATATGTTGACAATGTATTAAGAATAAAAGACATCTCTTTTGTTTCTTAATATATAAATCAAGACTAGTCTCTAGCAAGACATCATGACTATCCAGTTCTTTAGAAAGATTAATTAATCCGCAATTACCTTTCACGAGCATGGTTACCATACAATTTAGTCCTCATATCAATTTATCACTTTGTGATCTTGAACTTGGTTATTAATTCGTTCGATTATGATCACATAAGTTTTTTTCGATTTCTAAATGTCTTAGCTCTTAGAGTAAATCAACTATGTTGTATTAGTGTACTCCTACTATGATCACGAGATTCCTTGAGCGAGATATTTAGCAAAGTGCAATATGATAACTCCTTTAGCATATAAGAAATAACATGTCATATCTTAGTCATCCACTTATCTTCATTAGATTTCTAGTACACTTAACGAATCACCAATGTGCAACCCTTTACTTGGTTCATCGAAATAAGTACATAAATCCTCTAATGAGATAAACGTGATGACTTCAAGTTAAAGGATCGAGTTGTACTCATCTCATATGAGATTCTCATAAACTAAACCAAATGGGTTCTCATGACAAGTCAAATTCGGTGATATGTTCTCCAATGTTAATCACCTAAGTGTTTGTTTTGGCATCACCATGCTAATAGATGTAAGATCTCCTGCTTGCTATCTTATTGCATGAGTATAGCATTCACAAGTCCGACCGTATATAGTTATTGTTCATTCTTGACAATGCTACAATTTGAGACATTTAATTAATGATATTATTTAAATGCATTAATATTTGTCTCACATCTTTCAATTAAACATTAATACAATGTATATTATATAGACTTCTATCTAATTCTATTCATAAACATAAACATAAAAAACAAGAATTAATAGAAAGATTTATTTTATTAAAAATATAAATAATGCAATATTACAATAAGTCAAATAAATCCAAACATGATTGGTTTTAGAGCACCTAAACTAATACAAATCATCAAATTACCTTTTGTTTTTCATATAAGTACGTCAGGTTTGGTTCAACTAGGACAGTATCTGTTTGACATGATACGTGATAGATAAATAGGTGTTGTTTAATTAAACCGAACCAACCACCTTAGCCAACAAGCCAAAGCAAATATATTGATGTTGTTAAAAGATGAATCCTATGAAAAAACAAAAATGTCTAATTTGAGAAAAATAATAGAAAATAAAAACTTTCCATCGAGTTCATCTCCATGGAACAACAACAAATAAATAAATAAAAACATATCACAATTAATTTGAAAAATATTGCTTCCATGTTGTCTCAATCTTGATTCATACATTGGAAAAATCACCATGATCAACACTTGTTCCATATATTTTACAAAGTTCCAACATTTTAGATTAAAAAAAAAAGCGCAAAGTTCCAAATTCATACCCTAAGATATATATAAATATATCTTGCCGATTTTGCATTTCGAAAAGATGCACGCTTGTTACTTTTAATCACTTGATTATCTATGATCAAATAACACACACATTATCAATTCCCCCAATTCTCAACTAGGATCAAGTGGTAAGAATAAACATCATGGCAGGCAGTAAAAGATCCTGCAGTGGCCTAAAGATCTGTTTTCTTGCTACCTTTGTTCTCTTAATCACAATATCTGTGGTTCTAGTTATCTTGTATTTTACTGTTTTCAAGCCTAAGGAACCAAAAGTTACTCCTCAACCTCTTATCCTGGAAAATATTCGTGGGGTATTCTTTCCAGCTCCATTGTTAAATATCACATTAGGCATGGAAATCACGGTCGAAAATCAAAATTATGGAAGCTTCAAGTACCAGGAGAGCGCAGCTTATGTTAGTTATAGAGGGAATGTCGTTGCCGAAGCTCCGATTGAAGCCGACACCATTCCAGCTCGAGGGAAACATAATATATCTACCACTGTGACTATTTTTGGAGATAAGTTGTTATCGGATGATAACTTCAGGAGAGAGTTTCTTCTAGGGTCGATCTTGAATTTTACTTCAGCAACAACCTTGTATGGAAAAGTTATCTTGTTCAAGTTGATCAAGGCAAAAGCCACTAGTTCATGCACTTGTGAGGTCTCTATCTTTTTCCAAGAGCAGCAAGCTGAATCAATTTGCAAATCCAAAATCAGGTTGTAAATTAGTGTACGTATGTTAACGTTTTTGGCTATCAATATGCATGCAATAATTAATATATAAGGTTTTAAATTTAGAGATTTTTCATCAAAATAACCAGTACCATCACAGTATTAAATAAAGTAGTTGCATCCTTTTAATTGTACTATTTACTATGTGAACCTATTATGAATAAAAAAAAGTATGGTCCACATTTATTAATTTTGAACTATTAATTATCTGTCAACATCCAAATTGGCTCATGTAGAGATTTATCATCTCCAAGATGGACAACGTTTAATACAATGCATAAATTAAGTGGTACAATTTGAACGAACACACACACACACATATATATATATATATAACATCAAGTTGCAGGTTGCAATTAATGGAAGTTAGTTTTTACATTAATTTCTTAAGTTTGTAAAAGCTAGTACCGAATTTCTTGCCATTCTTTATTAGTAAACCTTGGATCCTAGTGCCAAAAAAAAAAAAAGGTTTTTATCCCTTGTTATCAAAATCTTGATTTTATTTGTTAAATAGTAATATAAAATTATTTTTTGATCTCATTCAATAATTTAATTTTTTAGATTAAAATAATTATTTAACATGATGTTAGAGATTTGATGACCAAACAATTAAAAATTTAAATCTCACCTCGCTTATTTTCTTTTCTAGTTAAATAATCAAATATAAGATAATGGATAAGTTTAAAAAACTTTCACTTAAAGAAATATGTTAAAGAATAATATAAAATTACTTTTCATCAAAGTTTTTTGGCTGAAATAATTGTTTGAAACTAAGAAAAAGCAAAAAAAGAAATTGCCATTCTTTGGAAACGCCACGCCCTCCATGCAAATAAGAATCTTGTTCAAGTGTTCAACTTATAAACCTGCCTACTTCGCAAACTAATCATGCATCGCACAAGTTCCTTGACAGATATAACGGTTGAACATGACTGGTCATGAGGGGAAAAGAGAAAACGATGCCTTCATGACATCAAACATGAAATGGGCGGGGACCAAAAAAAATGTCTTGATATATATACATATACGTTAGTTGCTAACCTCTTGGTTGGGATCCAGAAAATGCAAATTGATTGTCATCGAATATGGTGGGTGAACAATGAAAACACAAGGCCATGTATGCTATTGAAGCTCCAAAAATCTGGTTTCTGTGTAAATGTTGTGGCAGAGCTAGCTCGTCCAACATCAAATACGGTGGGTGAACATTAATAATCGAAGGGACATTCATGTTAGTAATACGGGTGAACATTAAAATGCTATTGCATGTTTATGTCCACTGGCTTACTTGGCGTTGCTATCTTTGTTTGTTCATAACGTTGCTGTCGTCCAAACAATGTTGCAAAAATGAAAGGGACATTCTGGGCGTGTTCCTTGCAAGCTGTATGCATGTTTCTGCTTGCAAGAAAAAGCTAAGCAATAAGATAACATTTAGTAAGCTAGAATAAAGGCAAAATCATACAAAACCCTCTAAACCATAGGTCATTTTGATAGATGAGTAAATTATAAATTAGTCCCTCTCGTTTCTAAAAATGAATTAATTAATCCTGTTTATTTTAAGAGTTAATTATTTAATCTCTTGTGTTTTAATTTCCTCAATGACATGTCTTTCATCAGTTTTTTCATTAAGTTGGTGACGAAATGTTTTTATTGCAGTATTTTATTTTCAAATTGTTTCTCTTTTTATGCATTATTTTTCTAGTTCAAACATGCACAATTTTTTTTTTTTTTTTTTTTAATTCTCAAGCAATAAAACAAATTCTCTCTCTCTCTTTTTTTTTCCTTTAAATCTTCTCTGCTCAAATATGTACTTCTCATTTTATTGATCTTCATTCTCTTTCTTTCTCTTAAAGTACCAAAACATACCCTATATATATACACACACACCACATTTTAGGTATTAAGTATTAAGTTAACAAATTGGATAAAAAGTTAGCAATGAGAGACTAAATAATTAATTTTTGAAATAAAAAAGAATAATTAATTCTTTTTTTCAAAATGAAAGAGACTAATTTATTATTAACTATTTGATTTATTTACACCTAGTGATATATATATATATAAACACACGCTGCTTACAATCTAGAAAAGTAGTAAGGTATATCGATTGGGGAACTCCTTCAAAAAAAGAATTAAGAGAGTGAGTGTTAAGGATAATTATAGTATAAAAACCTAATGAATGTATAATACCTAGTGCAATAAAAAATTCTTAATCCATTAATCCATTTCATCGATCTTTTAAAAAACAAAATTCAATCACCACCATAAATAATGGAAAACATGAATCAAATAACTAATAAAGCAAATCAAAGCCATTGTACACAGCCTTTGAATTATGTAATATGCTGTAGTGCTTCCATTTTAGGCTTTTGCTCCTTTTTTTTTCATGAGTAAGTTATAAATTAGTCCTTCTTATTTAGAGAAGCAAATTAATTAGTTTTCTTTTTTTAAAAAAAAAATAATAATCATTTAGGCTCTTGTATTTTAATTCCATCAATTCAGTTATTTTATAAATTTTTCATCGGATTAGTGATTTTTATTCTTAAGTTATCCTTCATTTGATTTTTAGTAGAGGAAAGAGAAAGGTAGGGTGAAAAAGAAAAAAAAACACCAAATGAATGGCTATTTGAGGGGAAAAAAAAACCAATAATCTAATTAAAAAAAAGATGAAAGGACTAAATTATTGATGAAATTAAAACATAAAGGACTAAATGATAAGTTTTTATGACGAGACATATTAATTAATTTGTTTCTCCAAATAAGAGAGAGTAATTTTTAATTTACTCTTTTTTCACCTAAAAAAAAATTGCCTTTTTTATCCTGAAAAAATAAACAAACAAGAAAGGATAGAGAGCAAAATACAATCTAAGAGAAAGCTTTGGAGCTTTGTGTATAAACGGAGAGAGTATTAATTTGTAGACGGCCAGAGAATGATTAATAGTTTTTTCAAGCAAAATATTTCTTTCAGGAAAATAAAAGGTTACATGTCGGTTTATGTACGTGAGATGGTATCTACGTGGCATCAAAGACTTTATTTTGGTAAATAAAATTGGAAGTATCCTATATAAGACTACCCTATTTTGGAAAAAAAATAAGAAAGAAAAGAAAAGAAGACATAGTTTTTTGACAATTAGTTTTGATTAATGATTAATACTATTCAATAATAAAAAAATGTATTCGAATTAGTTTGCACTTTAATTGAGATATGTTACAGTGTATATGACTTTTTTTTCCTTACAATAACAAATATTTTCGAATTAGTTTGTACATTAATCAAGTTATATTACTAAAAAAATCTATTATATTATGATTAATTACAATGTCTAATAAATTATTGATTTATTTTTATTTAAAAAATAGCATGAATCTTGTGCAAATATATATATATATAAACTAGATAAGTGTACCTATTGAATATATAATAAATTTTTTTATGTTATATTAGTTATTGCATTTATACTGTAGTTATTGAAATTTTTCTATATAATATAACATAAAAAAATTTATTATATATTCAATAGGTACAGTTATCTAGTTTTGTTATATATATATATATGAATAAAATCCTTGTTAACATTGTGCAACATTTTTCGATTATCAGACTTTTCCTGCCATAACAAAACATAAGTCCACCTTGATTCAACAAACCCAAAATGACCCATTTACGAATATTATTTTCATTTTTGGGCCCAAGAGCTAAGAGTCCAAAAAGTAGAAACTGTTCCAACCTTTAAAATTGGGCCCATTAAGTTAAATCAGTGCAAATGATATAAGACCCATTTATAATTTCTCTTTAGGTGGATGGATCCTTTTTATGCTCTTAGATATATGGCCCATTAAGCTTGGGCTCAATTGTCATTTTAACTGTCTTAAATATTCTCCTTCTTCTTCTCCATCGTATGTTTCAAACGCTAGTAACAATCGGCCCAATATCGACCGAATGTTTGTAATGTTCGATTTTGCATATTACAAAATTTGGTAGAAACTAACTCAATATTGAGACATGCTGGTAAAACATTTTGCTAGATGATTTGCTTTCTAGAAATCTATAAGACAGTGGCTTCCATGAAAAACAACTTAATTGGTTAATTTCTACACTCTGTAGCAGTCCATGACCAACGCAAGATTCAGTAGTCCATTTGAAGTAAAGATTGGCTTGGCTGTTTCATTTGTAGCACAGTTAACTATATATTCTAAGAGGTCTAATTAAAATAGAGAACATAGTAGCAAATAACTCTGTTATATAATGTAACGATCATTATTTAACACAGTTTTTATTTAATAAATTTAAATATATCCATTATTATTATTTATTATTATAAAGACTCAATCAGTATTTCACACAAATAACAAGAATAAGGATAGATATTATTATATAATTGGTTTTGAAACTATAATATAGTTGTTGTTATAATTTTAATAGACAAAGATTATAACATCAAGAAGATTATTATAATCGTCCATGATTATTTTTTTAGAGATAAATATTTTATAATATATATCCTGACTTTGTAATGTATTTCATTATTATTTATGTAATATTAAACTATTAAAAGTGTTATCAACTTTTATATATATATATATATATATAATAATAATAATAAATTCAACTGCTATTGTATAATATTAAACTATTAAATATGTTATTATTTTATTTAATTAAAAAAATTATTAAAAATATGTAAATTAAAATAAATTTATATATTAATTGTAAAAATCGTTATTTTATTATTATGATAAACAGTAATATGTGATTGCAATCACAATCGTTTTTATAATTATGTTTATCGTTTAAAACTATGATTAAAAATACACAAAATTCAATGAGTGTTTTTCTTCTCTATTTTTTTTTTATTATTATTCAATCCAATCATTCAAACCACAATCTGTTGATGAGTTGATCCATTTCTTTGTGGATGAGAAAATTCAAATTGGATCTTTTGGCATGATTTTGGTCCAGTTCTAAAATTATTAGTCCATACCAGTAAACTCAGAAAACTAGTAAACTGATTAGTCTTGATTTCTAGACGCCCAAAAACATTGGCTCTACAAAGATTTGTTTTAGAAATGTTTTGGACTGTTGCGATCCGTGATGATATTCAATTCTAGACATGTGTATGCAATTCGTGTGGGCTATATTCCTCATTTTTCAACATGAATACGTTGCCAGCAATGAGTCCAGTTAGCGCACTAATTAATCAGTTTCTTATGGCAAATCAAGACTAGTTTTCTGAGTTTTTTGGCTCTATGAAATACAATTTTATTCTAATACAGCCACTGTCATTGGATTAATGGACTCGAAATAACAAATATTTGGCCACCATAATGAAATTTTCAAAAAAAAAAAAAAACTAAAACGTTTTGGAATATATATTCATCAAATTGGAACTCAATTTAATCAAAGAGAGCATCCACTATCATATAGCTAGATATATTTATGTCCATATCAATCCTATCCATCCTTCCCCTGACAAAAAAGAGGCCTAATTTTCATCCTTATTTTCTGAAATTGACAAGTACAAGTCCCTATTCAATTAGTCCTACTATGTTCATGCATCAACAATCTCTCCAGTCTCAGCAGCAGCAAGCACTAGCTCTGGCTGTAGACTGAATGTTCCATCTAGGAAATTTGGCTGCCCCAAAGCCTTCAAAGCCAAATGTGCAGCCTTCTGCCCTGAGATCATCATTGCCCCAAATGTTGGACCCTGCAAAGATCAAGTTAATAATCATCATTAGCTTAATCAAACAGTATTATTTGCACAAGAACTTGATCAAATTTTATGGTAATTGAAATTTTACCATTCTTGGGGCTCCATCAATTTCTGCAACTTCCATGCCTGTAACAATCATACCAGGCACTATCTCCCTGGTAAGCCTAACAATTGCATCTTCGGCCGTGTTCATGTCTAGTGCTTTCATTCCTGGAACACTGTCAATCATGCCAATACTCTTCAATCTCTTAACACCAGTGGCACCAAAAGGCCCATCATGTCCACAAGAACTAACCACAACCTTAGACTCCATAACATTAGGGTCCATGCAAGATTGAGTGTCATGGTTCATAGACACTAAAGCCCAGTTAGTAACCACACCAGAAACTCTCCCTCCTTTCACTATTAAATCCTCTGCTGCCACAGCATTAAACAGCTTCACATTAGGCCTAGCCAAGAGTTTGCTCATGATTGTTGAAGTGAACAAAGCTGCATGCTTGATAACCACATAGTCATCTGTCTCATCATATTCAATTTCAAGCTCATCAAGAAATCTATGAGCTGGTTTACGCACAACCATAGCAGAAAACAACTGGCCACCAAGCCATGCACCACCTCCAGGGCTAACTGATTGTTCAATTATAGCAACACGAACTGAAGGGTTCTTGCTTATCTCATAAGCACAAGAAAGACCAGCAGATCCAGCACCAACAACGATAACATCAGTGTCAGCATAAGTAACCATGTCTGTCATGTAGCGACGGGTCATTTCACGAGAGACGATGGATTCTTTGATGGGCTGGAACTTAAAAGATTGAAGATCATATGAAGGTTGTGTTAAGGACATGGTAATGGCAGGAGAGGTGGATTTGATTGGAGTGAAGCGTGTAGCAGTGGTGATAGCTGCACCATGGAAGGATGATTTGTGATCCAAGAAAGAGGATTTGAGGTTTGCAGATAGAGAGGAGGTAAGGGTAGAGGCCATGGCTGTACGTAATTGAAGGTTTTTTTGATAATGTTTTGTTCAAGGGTTTTCTTTTTGTGTGTCAATGAAATTGGAGAAAGCTAGAGAAGAGGATTGAGATATGAGAGTTTAGATGATTGGTGGTATTTAAGGATGTGTAGCAAGTGGATGGTGTGAAAATATCTGAAATAAAAATCTCAAAAAGTGAGTCTGATGGGTCATGAGATAGCTAGATAGAACTTGAACGGTTCATAATGCTTGGAGTCTTGCTATCTAGATATAAAGACTGCACCAAAAGCAAAATAAGAGACAACTTTCCTACAGTAAGATCTGTGAGAGATATTTGTCTGGCTGTTGATTTCTATCAACCATTTACCAAGATTTGACACGCTGAGAAAGAAAATGTCTTGCTATTTGTAAGAAATAATGCTAAAAAATCACTCCTTGGTTACCAAGCATATAAACTATCAAAATATGTACAAGAACAGCATCTAGTTGCACTTCAGGACTAATTTGGAACTTGTAAGGAGATTGCTAAGAGTCTTATCAATCAAATAATTTGAATTAGCAAAACTTTCTAGAAGCAAAACATAACAATCCACATTTCTACATCATTGTTAAAAAAAAAAAAAAAAAAAACTCAGCTACCTACACTAACATTGGTTGTCTTTAAACATTGATTTTTTTTTTTCTTTTTACCTTGACATTTCTCACCTTTTCCTAGTTAATGTCTTTTCTTCAATTCATGCATGAAATTTAATAATTTACAAAAGTTTAGCTCAAATTCCTACATACAACTTGAATCTTGCTGCCAATGTAACATCCTGGATAGTGAAAAGAGGACTCGCAATTTCTGATATGCACATTGATATCCTTTTCTGTTCTTTGCACCATCTTCACACTCTTACTTTACTTTTACCTTTGATGTTGACTCAAGTTCATACTGCATAGCCTTCTGCTTCATTTTCCGGGAAGATCTTGTGGTGGAAGATGAAGATTTGGGAGAGGAAGAACTTGTCTTCTTTTTCCTAATTTTCGGTTTCTTGGGAACATTTGGAAGATCCGAAGATGGAATGTCATTGAATACATTGGGCAAAGTTTGATGTCCCGCAGATAGATCAAAATCTGTTTCAAAAATATTACAATCCATGAAACTAAAATCATTGTTTATGCGTTACTGCCAAAAATTTTAAACTAAACTATCAGAATTAGCCTCACGATTCACACATAAAAGTTTTTAATTTGATTGATTTGTAAGAATATTTTTAAAAAAATTAATTATGTATAAAATATACGAATAATTATGATAATTTGACCTGAAATTCTTGATTAAATAATATATTAGAACTTAATATATAATTAAAAATAAAATTAACTCGGTAATTGATGTTTTATAAGATTTATCAATTAGATATTCCTTATGAATGATTGAAATTATTTGAAAAACTAATTCAGATAGATATAAAATTACTTGATGTGGGATGATGTGGTTCCAGTTATGTATTACTGCCTCATATAGGGATTTGGAGAAGAATTCCAACAGAATTTCAGCTCTAAAATCCTTGATCAATGGATCAATGCCTCACTCTCAAGACTAGTGCCCAAAAATTCTCAAAAATATTCCCAGTATTCTCCAATATACCTTACAAATGTTATTATCGATCACACCATGATATGAATGGCTTGAGTAACAAAATCCCAAGTATGTTCCACCAAAAACTGGCTTTTACCAGGGCCATCAGATTACCTAGAGAAATATTATTATTGGCTCGTGACACAAAAGCCAAACTCTTCCCTCTCGGAGGCAAAGAATCTCAACAACTTTCACTGTACCTTGAAAGATTAGCTTTTAATAAATTGAGATAGGCATTGCTGTGTGTTGCATTTAACTTCACACGTGAAAAGGCCCTACTTTCTCTTGTCTGGTTATGCAATAGAACCCCACATGGTTTCTATTAAATATTGTTTAAGGGGACATAATTTTGAGGTCATAAATTCAAGCTTTGGCATTACTCATCCAAATGTGAGCAATCTTTGCCACATATATGTGTGTGTCTTATTCATTGTTCTTCTAGGTTTTCGCATATTAACAGTGCTCAGTAGTTCTATATTCTATATTTGGTCGCCAAATAATAGTTATTTTACCACCACACAAGAATTATTTAGCTTAGTGTTTCTCTCCCACAGAGCAATATATGGCTACACAACAATGCCAGCAAAAATAAAAAGTATATATACACCAAAAAGAGAAATAATTTAGAATATTTAAAAATAAAAACAGTGATAATACCTTGAGAGGACCATGGGGAGAAAGTAACAGAATTGGAATCTCTTGGATTAGCAACTGTGGTTGTTGAGAAATCTGGAGGTGTCTTGAATTCATTCATCTGCAATATTGCCCCACCAATAATTTCAATAACTTAATCATCTTTTTTTATAAAAATAAAAATAAAAAAAATTGCATGATGAGCCATGACAACATACATTTGGTGCAACAACTATTAATTTTATTATTATTATTATTATTGATAGAGGAAGATCATATAGGGTTCATGAGATGATGGAGGTTCAAGAATTGTAGACAGGACTACATACCCAACTGGGTGCACTGCCAGAAGGACTATCCCACCCTATATGTGCCACATGCTTAACATCTGTTGGATACCCAATTTCCATCTCTCGCTCCTTTACCACTGCAAGAAAATAGACAACACAGCCAGCAATAATAGACATTAATTTGCAACCAAGAAATATACATCGTAAAGGAAAGAAAGATATTTAAGCTTACCAAAGATTTGGGAGATGTACTTGAATCCCTTATAGATCCCTTTGATTTTGGTTGCCATGGATAAAATTAGAAGCTAGCCAAATGCAATAGCCCTTTAATGAATATTGATTCAAAACTGAAGGAAACAGTAACAAACGACGTGGAGAGATGGTTCTTTTGACCGCTAGAAAACAAAGATGTACTTGGACATGGGATTAGGCAATCCACACCAAAATCTTACAACGCAACAAGTCGAGAAGAGAGAGGTAGCGGAAAACAGACGAAAAGGTGTAGCAGCTTATCAGAGAAGATCATAAATGCATGTGATTTCCAAACTATTTCCCCGTGAAAGAAGATTGGAATCTTCGAAAGAAAAATACATTGCATTAATGTGAAGGCAGAAAAAAGAAATAGAAAAGGAAATCTACAGTAACTGTACCTCAAAGGATTAATAATGGCCAGGTATGTATATGATGGTAGAAAGATTAATTCAAGAGAGAAACAACCTCTTCTCTCTCTTCTCCAAGCAATATTGCTCCATACCTCTATTACTATTATTGATGGATAGAAAAAGGAGCACATACAAGAATTCTAAATGAAAAAAAATCATGGGAGAGCTAGCTTGCTGGGTAGATATCAAAGAGAAGCCATTAAAAAGCCAAAGAACTTGAACCAAAAGATAGTAAGAGAGAATATTGTTGTGGATGTCAAAGGCTCGAAGAATATATAACAGCTAGCTAGGTAGAGAAGAGAAGAGAGAAACTAAAAAAGATGGAGAGCCAAAAATATTGGAAAAAAAAAAAAAAAGCAAGGCGAAGATGGGTTTGAAGGATAAAAGACAAGGAAAGAAAGAAAGAAAGAAAAGAGGATGATAAAAATTGGGTGGTCGCTTTGTTGGTTTTGGAAAAGAGGAAATATTTTTTGTGAGAAAAGAAAATGTGAGTGTTTGCTTTGTTGCGTAAGGAGCAAAGCCCGGGCCTCAGGTTCTTTTATCTGTCTTATTAAAGACTCCTCTCTAAAAAAATGGCAGATCTCTCTCAAAATGCGGGCAAAAATTCAGAAGAGAGAGAGAGGAGCAATTAAAGAGAGAAAGTTCATGTTTTTGCAGTGTTTGACTTGCAAAGGATTAACAATGCCTCGTAAGTTGGCACCTTGGACTTGCTTGTGTCTTAAAAAACTTAGCTGGCATGATCTAAAGGGATTGGCCTAATCCTGAGAAAAATTATTCTATCTTTAAAGGGTACGTCATGTGGTGAGGTGAAAAAGATTTATTTCCTTTTTTTAATAATTTCGAATATTAGTGTCTACTAATGTGTTTTTAAAATTGCCGAACAAAAAAATTTAATATAGATCGGTGCATAAACTAGTTCAAAAATTCTATAATAGTTGAATAAAAGAAAAACAAAAATTATTTTATGAATCTAACTTGTGATTATTATGAATTTCTTAAATTTAATTTCTTTCTGTGTAGGATGAGGTGTATTTGATTAGAATGGAAAAATAGTTCGGAAAATGAATTAAGTTATTGATTGCAAGATCAAAAAGAAGTTAATTAATGAGTTGTCATTGATTTTTTTTAATAAAAAAAATAGCAAATATTTCCTAAATTTCGAGTTACATTAGTAGATAGTCATTCTCATCTTTTTCTCTTTTTTTTTTTTTCGTTTAACTTGTGAGATAATTTAATAATTTATTAATTAGTGACCACCCACCAAGTACCAACCATAAAACAAATTCATAAGTAAAATTTACCAATTTCCTAAGTTTAGGATGGTCATAAAGTATGCTTTAATTTATTTTCCTTCATAAGATGTAAGTCTAAAATAAATAAATGCATTAGATGAATGTAAGGGTGTATTATTTAAATAATTATAAAAAATTTTAATATTAATTAATATATAAATTGATTCGAAAATAATTTTTTATTGTAGAAAGAAAAAAATTAGAATAGCTAATAAATTTGAGAGGATTTGTATGATACAGTTTTTATGTAGCATCCATATCATTATTAAATCCTTGAAAAATATCTTTATCTGTATCAGAACTTCATAAATTCTAGTAATTTCCCCCACCAGCTCTGGCCCTGAAAGCAGCCAGCCAACCTCCTTGATTTTTGTGATATGAAACCTTAATTGTTCAACTTATTATATTTTTATATCATAAAGATGGCAACAGGTGAAATTAGTGTTACCATCCCTGACCCTTCAAACTTATTGATCATGTTTTCAGGCCAATATGTTTTAATTTGCTTGTCTGTAGTTTTAATTTGCTTTAATTTCTAAAACCTACTACCTAAATATTTGAGTTTTTTTTTTTTTAAGAAGTTCTAAATACTCGTCGATGATTCTTTGGGATGGGAGAGGATTAGAATCTAAAATTTTCAACTCTCACGATCTCAGCTTAAAGTTCTTGACCACAATCAAATATTTCGTTTCCTAAATCTTCTCATTGAAAAAAATTGATTAAAAAAACAACAATATATAATATTTGTGATACTATAAGAAGTCAAATATCAGAATATCATTCATTATTTTTAGGTGAATACATAACAGGAATATATCTTTCCAAACTGTCAGGCAGTTTTGGTTGGTCTTTCGTGCCCCCCACATGGATGATCCTACACTATAATTCTGGTTTGATGCTGCTGTCCATTTTTGTAACGTTAAATCAGATTTGGTACAACGTGTGATTTTTGACGTTGAAGTTAAAAAATCATTGTATGTTCCTATTAAAAAAATCCATAGCATGTTTTATTATATTTGCAACTACTGCAATGATATCATCCTGTAATCTACTACTATTAATCCTGAAATTTCCATGCTTTTCTGTCAAATTCCGCAAAGGGTTTAGGTGTTTTGATGACATGCTAAGTATTTGTTGATAATTGGAGCCACGTTTGTAGCAGCTGTTTCGTTGAAGGAAACATAATCTTAAAAATCAAGTTGATATCAACTATTTGTCTCATATATATATAAGTTTCTTGTTAGTAAAGCTGATCTTTGACATTCTCTTCAATGGCTCTAAATAGAAAACTCTGGATTGATTTTAGTAGTTGGGGGAGGTTAGAGTAATTGATCTGTTAGAAAAGGAGCAAGCTTAAGAGTTAAAAGACTATATTTCCTTTGAGAATGAATAATTTAACTCATCATTTTCTAATAATCAGCTCAGTTTTCAATCAATTTTTATATTTTTAATGATATCTATAATATTTATAAATAATGTTTAAATCTTCAATCTAATTCTTTCAATTAATTTTTTCAACCACATAATTTTTTTTTTTACCGAAATACTTTTAAGTGAAAAAAAAATTGAAGTTTTATGAAAAAAAAAAATACTTAAATTTACCAAAATGCCCATAATTGAAAAAAAAAACTTAAAAGTTGTATGGAAAAAAAAATTTAAAGTTATATGATTTGCATGTTCTATTTTATTTTTATTTTTATTTTTATTTTTTTGTATTTCAGTTAGGAGCATTTTGGTTAAATTTATTTGTTTATTGTCAAAACATTTATCCAAAGAATAAATTGAAGACTTATATATATATATATATATATATATATATATATATATATATATATGTTAATTAATTAAAAAAATGAGACAAACCGAAGACTTGTGATATTATATAAAAACATTTTGAGCTATTTACTTTTATTTTCGTCAAAGAAAGAAACGATCAATTTTCAATCTCTCTCTCCCCTCTTTTTTTTTTTTTTTTTTTTTTTGTTCTAAAATCATTTCTCAAAGGTAAATTGTTTAGTAGTTCATATTCCGCTTCAAATTATTAGACCAAAATTCAGGGTGCCGAAAATATGGTGCATCATGCATTTTCTATATATTTTTCAAGTAAAAAACAAAAGAACATATATTTGGGATTTTTGGCATCTGAATTTCGAAGTGCAACAGAGAGTAGAATTCTGCCAGATTTTCAATCAAAACAAATAATAAGAAGGATGAACTAGATCAGAAAGCACTTTTCCATTAATAGGAAGTCAATGATGATTTGCTTGCATCAAAATTTATTATTATTATTTTAGATGTGTATTAAAAATTATTCAGTGGACAATCGAGTAGGCAAAGCTAATTGATTTTTGTAAACTAGGAATCTTATATGCTTAATTTCAAACAAAATGCTTGCATAGTCAATGAGCTAATGATTCAATTGATATTCATTTCTTTCACCGTCAAAATATCTTATAGTTGAATTTTTTTTTAAAAAAAAAGTACAAAATGTCCTATAATAGGAACATGAGTACTATAAAATTAATTACGAGAGTTCTGGCTCAGCAATATAATTTAAGACGATAAATTTATGAAGTGTCAATTTCAATACTTCCCAATACTCTTTTGTGACCACCATACAGTTGAAAAATAAAGAACAATATACTCTACGATTTGACATGTAAATGTGACTATTAAAATTGTTGAGGTCTCGACTAATTCTTGTCAAGGAATTATCTTATTTAAAAACTTAAGTTGTTAAGTTAGATCTTATGATATAATTTATATTATTCTCTAATACACCTCTTCAATTGAAAGTCTTTTAGGTTTGAAACTTATACGGGCTCACATTATTACGTGCTTAATTAATTAGAAGAGAAAGTAAGGGTGATAGGATTCGAACTTGTCACCATTTGGTTATTAATACTTTGATATCATGTCGGGGGACCTTTTCACCCAAAAGCTTAAGTTCGTTAAGTTAGATCCTAAGATATGATTTATATTATTTTCTATCAATTTTTTGGTTAAGAGAGAAAAAATATATTAATTTTATAAAATTACACTATCAATCTAATTATGCTAACTTGTAAAATACATATTCTAAACTTAGTGACAAAAAAAAACATAAAAAAAAATTTATGAACTAAAAAATTCTTGATTTTACTTTCTAAACAATATGATACTCCTTTCGTTAGGGTTTTAATGAGAAATCGACGGAAAATTCATAAAAAAATCCTCCCACTTTCTATACTTTTCTCAATCAACTTACAAAACACATGTTAATAATAGAGAAAAAAGAGGAATGGAGAGGATTTTAAGAGGTTTTCTATCAATTTGAAATTCTAAAAAAATAAACAA